TACAGAATAGAGGACACAAAGTCTAACCCAAACAACTTCAGTTATCTTATATTAGACAAGGGCGCCAAAAACCTACATTGGAGAAAAGATAGCCTCTTCAACGAATGGAGCTGGGAAAACTGGAAATCCACATGTAACAAAATGAAATTAAACTTTTATCTCTCACCATGCACAAAACTCAACTCAAAGTGGATCAGGGACCTAGGAATTAAACCAGAGACTTTGCTCCTAATGAAAGAAAAAGTAGGCCCAAATCTCCATCATGTTGGATTTAGGCCCCAACTTTCTTAATAAAACTCCTGTAGTGCAGGAACTAAAACCAAGAATCAATAAGTGGGATGGATTCAAACTAAAAAGCTTCTTCTCAGCAAAAGAAACAATCATTGAAGTGAATAGAGAGCCTATAGAATGGGAGCTGATCTTTACCACAAGCATGTCAGACATAAAGCACTAATCTCTAGGGTATATAAAGCACTCAAAACCTTAATACAAAAACAAAAACAAATAACCCAATCAATAATGGGCCAAGGAACTGAACAGATACTTTTCGGAAGCTGACATAGAACCAATCAACAAACATGAAAAAATGTTCAACATCTCTAGCAATTAGAGAAATACAAATAAAAACTACTCTAAGATTTCATCTCACTCCAGTCAGAATGGCAGCTATCAAGAATACAAACAATAATAAGTGTTGGCGAGGATGTGGGGAAAAAGGCACACTCACACATTGCTGGTGGGACTGCAAATTGGTTCAGCAATCTGGAAGCAGTATAGAGATTCCTTGGAAAACTGGGAATGGAGCCATCATTTGACCCAGCTATCCCACTCCTCAGTTTATACCCAAATGACTTAAAAACAGCATACTACAGGACACAGCCATATAAATATTTATAGCAGTACAATTCACAATAGCTAAATTATGGAACCAACCTAGAAGCCCTTCAGTAGATGAATGGATAGGGAAACTTTGGTATATGTACACAATGGAACATTACTCAGCATTAAAAGAGAATAGAATCATGGCATTTGAAGGTAAATGATGAAGCTGGAGAATAGAATGCTAAGTGAAGCAAGCCAATCCCAAAAAACTAAAGGCCAAATGTTTTCTTTGATATGAGGATGCTGACTCATAATGGCGATGGTGGGGGAGCATGGGAGGAATGGAGGAACTTTAGATAGGGCAAAGGGGAGGGAGGGGAAAGGAGAGGGCAAGAGGGTAGGAATGATGGTGGAATGAGTAGACATCATTACCCTAAGTACATGTATAAGATACGAATGGTGTGAAAATACTTTATGTATAATCAGTGTCTTAGAAAATTGTGCTCTATATGTGTAATATGAAATGAATTGCATTCTTCCATCATGTATAACAAATTGAATAAATTTAAAAAAAAGAAAAAAATGGCAGGATTCTACTTATGAGTTGGGTTCCAGTGTTGCTAAGCGACCCTCTAACTAATCTAGTGTTAAAGCACCACAAGCCCTGGTGGCCTCAGCCCTCTGCAGACACCCTGCCAGAGTGCTTACCTCCCGTGCCTAGGCTCCAGGGCTTGGTGCTGCAACGCCTGCTCCCTGTTGCTGGCTGTTTCTTGCTCTCATCTGATCCTTGGGCTTTGAACCATATGGACCCACATTTTAAATCAGGCAGAATTTCAGATGTTTGGTTTGTTTTGAAAACTCAGAATATCTGGTAACACGGGCTCATGCTCCTGAAAGGCAGCAGCTGGCTGGAGCAGGGGGCGTTTCTCCAGTCTACAGGGGCTCCCAATGCTCCTCACTGTCCTCTGCTCTACCCCTCCCTCATTCATTTCCCTCCCCACCTCTCTAGGCATTTGAGTTTATGACCCCTGTTCCAGCATTCAAAGAAGGGGCACAGACACCGGAAAGGAAGAGATAGGACCATCATCTTTTTCAAGCGGTCTACAGTGGGGTTTTTTGTTGTTGTTGTTTCCAATGAGGGGGAGTTATTGCCCTTAGACCCTGGAGCAGGCTAAAGAATGAGCAATAACAATTCTGGGGCCAGCTGGGACCATGAAGGAGCCTGGCCAACATGTGCCTTACGTCTCTTATTCACCAGGGGAGAGGCTGGAAATCATGAGAGGATCTCTGCAAGGGGCTGGAGGGATTCTGGAAGGTAGAGTGGTTATCAATTGTTGGCTAAGATGGGGATGTTTCTGGTGCCTGGAGTTAAGTGACATTCATTCTTTTAAGTGCCAGCTACATGTGCAGACCAGGGAGCTTCTGGTGGCTACTAAGGGAAGATTCCTGTGCAAGGCCAAGAAGAATGAACTGGGGAGACAGGAAGTCAAAGGAGGGACAACTTATGTCTGGCTCTGGCCCTGGTCTGTGGGATCATTTTTGGTCAATTGTGTAGGAGGATTAAGGCAGGAAGAGGAGAAGCAATGTCCATGAAGGACTCTGAGACCTTGAACTCAATATTGCTCCTTGGGGCCAGTGAGATGGACACAGAAGAGGGCTCAGGAGCTTTTCCAAATGCTCCTATCTACACAGCAATAGTGACAGAATTAGGCAGACCATGTTTGTAGGTGGGCAGGGATGAGAGGCAGCCAGCAGAGCAGCTGCAGTGCCCAGCGTGCCTGGCAGAAGGCTAGAAGTGGCCTCTTCACAGGGCACAGACTGAGTGGTACTGCCAGGGCCCTGGGGCTTGCAAGCTGCACTTCCATGAAGAGGGTGCATGAGTAAGCCAAGAGACTTGTTTCTGATCACCAGAGACAATCCTCCCTGGCCTTCCAGAGAGGGTGACCAAGGGACACGCTGGGTGTAGGTATTTGCGTGGCAGAGCTCTGCAGTCTAGAGGATGGGGACTCACAGTGAGGCCCTGGGGTATCATCAGTGGAGCCAAGACACATGCACGTGGGCTGGTGAGGGTTGGGGCGGGCAGAGCTGCACACCCCCTCACAGCCCACTTGTCTGTCTCACCCCCTACCCCTAATGTAATCACAGCCTCCTCCCCTCCCCTCCATCCCACTGTGACAAAGGCACAGACACACAGCAGAGGCTCCAGGGGATGCACCAGGACCCCAGGTGGACAGGTTAATTGGAGGCCCCTGGTGTTGTGTGGGGCAAGGGTGGTCAAACCACAAGGCATGCTGGCCGGGGTGGCTGTATATGAGGACCCAGGAGGAAACCTATACAACACTGCCAGAAACCAGATGTGTGCTGTGGAAGAATGAACGGAGCCCGGAGCCCAGAATACTTCAACAGGAGGTTTCTTTCCTGGGAGGATTTGGAGAGAGAGATTCTGATGCAGAACAAATTGCATAAACATTTCAAAAGAGAAACTTACGTTTCACTAGCAAAAAGTCCCTGAATTCCTGGTGATCTGTAAACACCGGTGGAGATGGCAAGGGTGGGCCAAAGAGTGGTACACTTTCTTCTGAAAATATTTTCAGCCTACAAAGAAAACATTCCAGAATTAGTTGGTTTTTCTTCAAAGATCACCACTATTTTGCCCTTCACTGTGTCCAGCAGCCTTGGCCATGGCCCTGCCCTCCTTTCCAGCTGAGTTGTTTTCAGGGCCATGGCCAAGACTTCCTGCATCCTCTGTGGTCTAACTCATCAGCTATGGATAAGGTCAGACTCCCCAGGAATAATGGCAGTGGTCACCTCTGTGTGCCCGCAGCTTACAGGTGGCACAGCTGGCCTTCTAATACGCAGCCCTGAGTCCGATTCTCCCTTGGCTGCCTGAGGTGGTTCCCTTCATTCTACAGAGGACTGAGGCTCTGATGAAATCAACCCTTTCACAAAGCCTCAGAGTTAACAAGTGACAAGGCTGAGATTCAAAACTAAATCTATTTGGTCGAAGTTCATACTCTTTTCACAACATGATAAATTTTAACTGTTAATTTTTGAGCACAGAAGGGTAAAGGAAGGAGACAGGAGCCTCTAAAAGAGGCTCAAAAAGAAACATGCACATCAAGAGTATCAATCAATGTCAAATTAACATGTAGACAGATAATCAGAGCAAGAAGTGAGATGAGGCTTTTACCCACCTGTAATTGTCATTTTGTTGGTCATACCTCACTAAGGCAAAGATATCTGTGGGGATGGTCAAGGAAATAATCAACAACCCTGGCGCTCGCAGTTGACAGCTTGTGCTGTGGAAAGTCCTTGTGCAAAAGGCTCTTTCCCAGCCCTTCTGTGGTTAGGGCTCCTAAGGTCCTCGGGTTAGGACACACCTGTGGCTTCTTTACAGGAGAGCCCCCTGCCTGGTCCAAGCATCTGTGTGTACTTCCACTGGGAAAGAGCTGCATCTCCAAAGCTGTCAGGAGAGCAATGTAAATAAAGATATGAAATGAAACAGCCAACCAAGCAGAGAGAGCAAACAAGACCCCAGCATGAAATTAGTCATATATTTCATCTCACTTGTTCGAGAGGAAAAGCAATTTAAATGTTTCCACTATACACCTTCCCTCTCTCTCTTGGCTTTGGTAGACAAAACAAGATAGAACAAGCCAATGTGGCTGGTGACAGCTTCTAAGCAGAGTCTCCTGAGCTTGAGCTGAAGTCTGCCAACCCCAGAATAGCACAACTGCTGGGGGTGGAGCTCTGCGCTGGAGTACTGGTTCCATCCCCAGCACTGAGAAAAAAAGAAGAGGGTGAATTGTACAGTGTGTGAATTATAGCTCCATGGAGCTCTTTTGAAAAATCAAAATAGCACAACCACATCTAGTGGCCTCCTCTATCCATGCTCCATTAGCTTCCCTCTCCTAGCTGGCCACAAAGCCACCAGGCCCTTGGCATTTCCCTTCCCTGGCTGGGTGGAATAGAATTTGCATTAACAACTCCTGCTGTCCTTTCCAGAAATGAACCTGCTAAGCCCTAAATCTAAAACTTACAAAGAAGGGAGAGTAAAAAAAATTGATTTAAAGCCACCTCACTCCCTATCCTGGGGTGCACCTGGGAAGTTTTCTGCTATGTCCAGGGACTTGATGCAGGAAGGAGGTGATATGAGTCCTAGTTCAGTGGTCAGGGGAGACAGTTTTAGCAAGCAGGGATGAGGATGGGGGAAATCCATAGTGCAGGTGGAGGCAAATACCTGTTTTCCTCTCTTCCTTCTTAGGAGAAGTCTGGAGGCTTCAACTTTAAACACTTATTAATGTGCTATATTTCAGGTTCTAAGGGATAAGGCAAAGCATAGAGATGTCTGAGTCCCAGAGTGCCTGTCTCTAGACATTTCTACTGGAGTCTTCAGGGAACATGAAAAACTAGATAGCATTTATCATGGAAATGCCTGTTGGTTGCCCTTTACTTACAACCTGTGGGTTTCACTGTCACAGCCTGTGGCCCAGAGCAAGTGGGCCATGATTAGTTATCATCTGGAATGGCTGAGTCCATGCTCCCTGCTGTCTGGCCAAGCTGGACTCAGACACTGCAGGGGACGTCAGTCTCATCAGAGGAATCTGCCAGCACTATGAGATGAACAGTAATTAGGGGAAGCAAATTAAAATATTATCAACTCACTTCTCAGATTTTAAGAGGTGGTAATGTGGCAGCTATGGTCAAACTCAGAATCAACCAGGCACAATGATCTTGGCTTTTTTTTTTTTTTAACTTACAAATTTGATACCTAAAGAAAAATTACTCAGATACCTAAAGAAAAATTCATTACCTATCATTCTTCTAATTCATTTATTACTTTGGGTGCAGGAAGTTTCCCTCAGAATTCAAGAATTCTCTGAGAGCTAATCTATCCATAAATTTAGTGGAGGCAAAGGAAGAGGCAAAACTTTGGAAAAAAAAACCCCAAACTGGGAGTCTCAGACCATAGCAATGAAAACATGTCACTGCCAGGTGCAATGGCACATGCCTGAAATCCAAGCAGCTCAGGAGGCTAAGGCAGAAGGATCACAAGTTCAAAGCCAGTCTCTGCAACTTAGTGAGGCCCTAAGCAACTTAGTGAGACCCTGTCTCAAAATAAAAAATAAAAAAGGAATGGGGAGCTGGGGATATAGGTCAGTTGGTAGAGTGCTTGCCTCGCATGCACAAGGGCCTGGGTTCAATCTCCAGCACCACAAAAACAAAAACAAAAAAGGACTGGGGATGTGGCTTTGTGACTAAGCACCCCTGGGTTTAATCTCCAGTCCCCAAAAATAACCCCCTCAAAACAAAAAAATCATGTGAGTGATAACATTTGTGCAAAGGTCAATAACTTCCAGTGAGACTGATAAACCAGAGCAGTCAACAGGCCCAGGATACGTGTAAAGTGAGAGCGGATCATGGAAGGCTTGAAGGCGGCAGAAGATTCCTCTCCCTCCTGGAACACGATGGTGACAATATCGTTTCCAATGTGGCGTTTCCTTTCCACCTGCAGTGAGCACAAACAACATCACTGAGAAAGCTGCTCAAATATGGCAGAGCTGAAAAACAGGACGTTGTATAACAATCTACAGCAGCCAGCAGAGCCTGACCCTCAGCTGACCTTGACTGCTGCCTCCCATTTCCCTGTCCATCTCCTGACTCAGGTCTGTACTTCCTCTTGTCTACAAAAGCCTCCTCACCAGCCTCCTGGCCTCCACTCTCTCCTCACTCTTCTGCCCTATTAGGTTTATCTTTATTAATCTCCTGAGCTGGGCACTGAACAAGGGGGTGCATCAGAATCCCCAGGGGAGGAGCTCAAACGATAATATTATAAATGCCTTAGCTAGTTTTTCTTTCTCCCTATATCTCCAGTCCTCCTTAGCTAATTCTGAAGTACACACTTGGTGAGAACAATAGCCTACCAAATTTGACCTATCCAGAATGATCTCCTAGACCCATGGCTGACAAGATTTTTTTTCTGTAAAGGGTCAGAATTTAATGTTTTCAGCTTCAAGGACCATGTGGTCCTTTCACAGCCAGGCAGCTCCTGTGGCAAAAGCTGTCACAGTGCATGAACGAGTGAGCGCAGCTGTCACCAATACTGCTGCATTCACCCCAACAGAGGCTACTGCTCACCTGTGCCCTAGCCTTTGCCTGTTTGGTCAATCACAATGCCTCCCCGTTCCTCTGGATCCCATGTGTCCTCAGTTCTGGGTTATGGGGGACTACAGATGGAAACTCATTCTTTCTCACGCCCCTTACCAAGAGGTGGTTCACCTTGAATATGGCTGGCTGCATAGTGCAGCAATGAATAAACTGTCACAAATGTAACCCTAAACTGGTGCCCAGTCCAGCCTCCAAGAGGAGAGTCTGTAACCTCAGTAACTTGGGAGTCTGAGGTAGGAGGATTGCAAATTCAAGGCCAGCCTGGGCAACTTGGTGAGAACCTGTCTCAAGATGCAAAACAAAAAGGGCTGGGATGCAGCTCAGGGGTACAGTGTCCCGGGGTTGAAAAAAAAAAAAAAGGGCACCATAGTTTCTGCTGCCTCCTGTTGGAACATGGAACTTGTGTAGGGGGCCAGGAGGGCTGTGCCACCTGTCAGTAGTGAGCCCTGCTGCAGACAGGAGAGCGTCCCCCAAGAGGCCATGCAGAGGCGCCTGAGAGGCCCTGAGACTTCAAGGATGGGAGCAAGGACAGATTCCTAGCATTCCCATCCAGCCTCCAAATAACTCCAGCTCAGCTGCCAGGGGACTGTCTCTGAAGAGGCTCCCTGAGACAGCAGCGGAAAACCTGCCGGCTGAGCTGTCAACATGCAGGACCATGAGAGGTTGTGAACCAGTTTTCTCCAGCCGGTAAGTAGAAGTGGTTTGTTTTGTGGCAAAAAAATAAATACATCAGGGTCTTGGCTTACCCAGTTTATTTTGCCTTGTCTCTTATTTCTTTTTTATTTTTTTCCAGTATTGGGGATCAAACCGAGGGCCTCATACAAGCCAAACAATTGCTCTCCCATTCAGTACCAAGCCCACATAAACCTCATTATCTAAGCCCAGACAAATTACATTTTGCCCAGGAAGCCTCCCTGTTTCTGTTAGATGTTGCCTTCTTTGTCCCCTGGTGTCTGTAGAACTTTCCTGATGCCCTTCCTTGGGGCTTATGACTTTCTATTTTGCACAGTAATGTTTGCCCAGGCTTCCCGGAATCTTCTCTGCACTGCAAGCTCCTGGAAAAGAGGGCCCCTGCTGACTCTTACAGGATATTATGGGGAAATTAAGGTCTAGAGAGCATCTCCAAATTTCAATTTAATTCAGTGCAAAAAGTAATTATTAGCTGGGTGCAGTGGCACACATCCAGTGACTCAGAAGGCTGAGGCAGGAGCATTGCAAGTTCAAGGGCAACCTTAGCAACTTAATGAGGCCCTGCCTCAAAAACAACAACAACAACAACAAAACGCTGGTTATGTGGCTCGGTGGTAGAGCACTGCTGGTATCTAGTACCAAAAAAAAAAAAAGAAAGAAAGAAAGAAAAGTCATTATTGTTGGCAATGATTTCTTAGGTATGACACTAAAAGCACAGGAAAAAAAAAAAGATAGTGTCTGGGGATGTAGTTCAGTAGTTGATCTCTTGTGTAGCGTGCACAAAATGCCCTGAATTTGACATCTAGTACTGGGGGAAAAAACAAGAAGATAGATAAATCAGAACACATCAATATTGGAAACTTCTGTAAACCAAAGGACACTGTCAACAGAGTGCAAAGGCAGCCCAGTGGAGAATGGGAGAAAGTAATTGCAAATCAGATATATGATAAGGGTTAATATCCAGAATTTATATTAGAAAACTCCTGCTACTCAATGACAACAACAAAAAATGCAATTAAAAAGAGACAAACAACTTAGGTATTTCTCCAAAGAAAATTTATATGTGGATAACAAGCACATGAAAAGGTGGTCAATGTCATGAATCATTAAGGAAGTATAAGCCAAAATGAGACCTCACTTCATGCCCACTCTGTGGCACCTGAAATAACAAAGGTGAGGAGGAACTGCAAGCTTGTGTGGGGCTGACTGGAATGTAAAAGGGGCAATCACTGTGGAAAAGGGCATGGGCGCTGCCCCAAAACATAGATTTACCATATGATCCCGCAGTTCCCCTTTTGAATAAATACCTCAAGAATTAAAAGCAGGGTTCAATTGGGTGTTTGTATATCCATATTTATAGAGGCATAATTCATCAGAGCCAAAAGTGCAAAAGAACATAGTGTCAGCAGATAAATGGATAAAGAAAATGTGGTGCATACACACAACGGAATATTACTCAGCCTTGAAAATATAGGGAACCCTGACGTATGCTTCAACATGGATGAACCCAGAGTACATCATGTTAAGTGAAGAAGCTGATGCAAACGGACAAAATTATTATTCCATTAATATGAGGAACCTTGGGGCTGGGGTTGTGGCTCTGTGGTAGAGTGCTTGCCTAACATGTGTGAGGCACTGGGTTTGATTCTCAGCACCACACATAAACAAACGAATAAATAAAGGTCCATTAATAACTAATAAAAATATTTTTTAAAAAATATAAGGAACCTCAAGTAGCTGGGAGACAGGAAGTAGAATGGTGGCCATCCCAGGCTAGGGGAGGGGAAAATGCAGAGCCATTGTTTAATGGGTACAGGGTTTTAGTCTGAGAAAATAAAAAGTTCTGGAGATAGATGGTGGTGACAGTTGCCTACTGATGTGAAAGTCCTCAATGCCACTGAACTGCACACAGAACAGTGGTTATAATGGCAAACTTTACATTATGCATATTTTACCATAATAAATATTAATCATTAAGGCTGGGGTTGTGGCTCAGTGGTAGAGTGCTTGTTTAGCATGCATGAAGCACTGGGTTATATTCTCAGCACCACATAAAAATAAATAAGTAAAATAAAGATATTGTGTCCATCTACAACTAAAAGTGTTTTTAAAAAGTCATTATTAATTCATTAACTGCTGAATTAACAAAAATGTGATATAAAGCCATACTATAGAGAATTATTTAGCAATTAAAAAGGGATTTTAATAAATGCTACAATGTATTTTCATTTATAGGAAGAGTCCAGAACAGGCAAATACAGAGATAGAGAGGAAGTTCACGGTTACCAAGGTAGAGTGGGAGAGGAGAGCTGAGGGGGAGAGGGCTTCTCTTCCAGTGATGGAAATGCTCTACACTGACTGCTGGATAGCCCCTCGAACACACTAGAGTCTACAGAGCTGTGTGCTCTAAAGGGTGAACTGCATGGTATATGAGTTAAATAAATAAAATAAAGGTACTGTGTCCATCTACAACTAAAAATATTTTAAAAACAACAACAAAAAAGAGTGCCTGAGGTTAGTTTCGGAGTACATTTGGGCAGGTCCAAGGAGGCACGAGGAGGCCTGCTGGAGGGCTGGGAGAGAGCTCAGCAGCCTGGAAAGCAAGGCGAAGGCCCTGAGCAGGCCAGGTTCTCCTGGGAGAGGAAGAGGGAGAAAGCCCATGTGATGGGATGCAGGAAACAAGGGGAAAACGAGAGAAGGAACAGGGTCACAGAGGCTTTCCCTGGTGGAGTGGCAGCCATGTGGTTTGGGAAATGACCTGACCTACATTTTAAGGCTCACTCTGGCTGCTGGACTGAGATGCTGGCTTTAGGCAACAAGGGAGAGACAGGGAGGCTACAGCATGGTCCATTTGAGAGGTGCCGGTGACGGAGACCAGTGCGCCGAGCGGCCACAGTTTAGATGAGTCTTAAAGGTAGAACAAGTAGGATTTCCTGCCAAATCAAACGTGGGATGAGACAAAAGAGAGGAGCTGAGAATGATTCCACTATTGCTGCCATGAAAAAGGAGGAAGAGAACAGAGCAGGTGTGCAGAGCGCCCAGGGCACAGCCCTGGAGTCCAGGGTCAGGGCATCCTGCTCAGCGGGTCAGGCTTCCCGGCCCTAACTCCTCTCTAGGTTCCTATTTCTCACAAATCTGAATAACTGTCCATGCGTATCAGTGATGCTGCCTCATACTGATGCCTTCAATGTGGAAAAGCATGAAACAATCTCCTAAAAAGTTACATGGAACCCCAACCCCCAGCCTCTGTCATGTCTGAACTGGAGAATTTCCCCCAAAAATGTCCAACCTCTGGAGTGGGCAAGAAGTGTACAGGGAATTTCCCAGCATGGTGCTGCCCATGCAGACACTCAGGGTTAACCTGCCGCGGCCCGGAAAACAGGACTTGCCAGCTACCGCGTAGGATCCACTGTTTTATGTCCTGGAGTCTCATTCTGAAATGACCGAAGGTACACTGAGGCAAGGCAACACCTACGCAAATCAGTCTCTGGGGTGTCTTGCTGTGGTGTGAGCATGTTCCCTGGAGGCTCATGTGCTGGGAGCTTGGCCTCCAGTGTGGTATCAAAAGGTGACGAGACCTTTGAGAGATGGGCCTGGTGGGAGGTGATAAGGTCTTTAGGTGGAACTGACATTTTTTTTTTAATGTTTGCTTTCTTATGCTTTTTTTTAAAAAAATTATTTATTTATTTTACAATAGAATATTTTTTGACATAGAGTACACAAATGGTGCACAACTTCTCATTCCTCTGGCTGTCCATGGTTCAAAGTCACTCCACTAGTGTAACCATACATGTATATAGGGTAATGATGTCTGTCCCTTTTTACTGAGAACTGACACTTTTCTCATGGGAGTCCATTCTTTCTCTTGTGGGTCTTGCAAGAGTGGGTTGTTATAACAAGTCTGGTACCTCCCTGAATCTCTCTTGTTTCCTGTCTTGCTGTGTGATTTCTTCCATATACATGACAGCTACTATGATATCATCTGCCATGAGGCCCTCACTAGAGCTGAACAGATGCCAGTGGCATGCTCTTGAATCTATACAACTGTAAGATAAATAAACCCCTTTTCTTTACAAAGTACCCAGACTGGAGCATTTCATTATAGCAGCACAATACAGACTAATATGAGTCTATGAAACTATATTCACACATGCAAACACATCTACATGTTCACACACTCATGCACTTTATTACCTATGTCCCTTTATTTCTTTATGGTGATATAGCATCAGTGAGAATAGAGCTTCCAAAGTCTTGTTGAAAGTTTTAAGAGTACAGACTGTAAAAAGCATCCCTAAATTGGTAGCGATATTCTACTATAGTAACGTACAGTCTCAATTCTGTGAAAGCAGTATGGTGCTCTCTCCACATTCAGGTCACTGATGGCTGGTGTTCTCAAAGAGCCCATGTTCACACATACCTGCTGTTTGTTCTCTTTGGAATATGGCAGCATGGTGGAAACATGGAACATGATCTCGTGCCCTTGGTACACAGTATAAACTGAGTGTATCCCTGTGGTGTCATCTGCAAAATACAAGTGTGCATTTATTGGATGCAGAACCTTCTGAGGCCATAGGGAAATAGCTTTTATCTGCAGATCGAGGAGTAAGGGCACAGTGAACACACTCTGAAAAGTCATTCTGGATTATCCACTTGAGTGGAAGCAAAGCTTCTACCCACATGAAAAGACCTCCTCTCTCTCTGAGCTCACTTGCTGATTCATGTCTTGCCTCAGAATGGAGGATATCAGAAGTCTGGGCTAAAAAGCAAAGTTTGCTACGATTCCCTGCCTTCCAGTTGCTGAGGCGTACAGGATGAAATCAACACAAGACGACACAATTATCATGTCCACGAGACAAAAGCAAGTGATATATCTGGCAGAATTGTGCAGTGGTTGAAAGCAGGGGCTTTGGAGTTAGGCAGACTTGGGTTCAAACTCATTAGCTATATTATTTTCCCCCAAAGTTTAAGGTTTTGTTTTATGGCATTTTCTTAATTTATTTTAAGCTATAGTTCTTTTGACTAGTCATCTCACTATTCTCTGGGTCTCAATTTCTTAATTTGAAAATGGGGGATGCTGGGAAGACTGAAAAAGATTATATCCACAAAGTGTTCCACAGAGTGTCTGGCTGTCTCGGGGGCCCTGGGGACGGTAGTCTGCTCCAGAGTAGGGAGGCTGTGTTTGGTCCTGGGATGATGAGCTTACGGGCACTTGGGAATTCACCATATGCACACAGAGCTTGTTCTGGGGAGGCTGGGGCCATGGCCTCCCGCTGGCCCTGTCAGTTCGCCTACTTCCAGCACAGTCCTCACACCCCCTGCTCTAGGACTCAGAATCTGAGATGATGCCAATGGGGGCTGGTGGGAAGACGGGGCTCCCTGAGGGCTGGGGCACCCAGATTTGAAGCCTGTTACATTTAGGCCAAAGGAGCCTCTTACCACCTGCCCGACTGTTCTAAAGGCCTGATTGTGAAGATCAAACAGCGGCACAGGAGATGTACAGGAAAATGACAGAAGTGCTACCTAGACATAAGATCTAAACTTGGATCTTATCTACCATCCTCTCTTAGGCCCCACCCCCAGATCCCACTCTCAGATGCTCCCAGGGAGTTTCATAATCCCAGGCGCCACCACAGCCAACGTCCCCAGGCCAGAAGCCCAGATGCTGTGTGGGGGGGTCCTTTCTTCCTTTCACCTCCCACATTTCAGTCCTACCCCCTCTGCCTTGGAAAGGGCTCTCCGGTTAGTGTACTCTTCTCCCTGCCAGTCTGCTGCCCCCCAGCCATGGCGGCCACTGCCTCCTGTTTGGACTGTGGCAACCACCTCTCCAGTGGCCCCTCCTCCTGCTCCATTCATACCCCTGCCCAGGGGACCACAGACTTCCTGCAGGGTCATGCTGCTCCCTTCTCCAGTCCACAGGGCATCCTTCCTGGCCCGTCTGCTCACTCCAGTTATAAATGTTTTCTCTTAGTTTCTAGGAGAAGTCACATGCTTTCCAGTCTTGAGGACTTCACTGATATTCCCCTGCTGGGAGTGCTATTCTCTCCTTAAGACACTCCAGCTGCTGCCACTTGTCATCCCTGCCTCTCACTGCAAACATCACTTCCCCAGAGAAGCCTCTCCCAAGCCCCCAGATTTGGCAAAGTGTCCCAGCAGCATTCTGCTCCTTAACTGCTGTAAGTACTTAGTACTAAGCTATTTGATTATTAGCTGTTTACTGGCTGTGTGTTCAGTGAACTCTAGGCTCCTAGGAAGGCAGGGCCCATTTTGGTTTATCTACATATGTACTACAGTCCTGGTACACAGATGGTGCTCAATAGTAAGTACAGATAGGCATCACTTAATGATGGGGACACATTTTGAGAAGGTGTCCTTAGCTGATTTCATCCTTGTGTGAACCTCTTGGAGCATACTGACACGAACTGAGATGTTTTCAGCGTCACTAGGTGATGTGATCTTGTGGGATCACTGTCACAGATGTGGTCCATCATTGATGGACATGTCATGATGTGGTGTATAATTGTATTTATGGGCGGATCATGACTACTGCCACCTCCTTGAGGCTGTGAGGCTGACTAGTCTTGCAAAGCTCAATGGAGGCACTGAATGTGTCCAGTGACCCTTGTCAGACTGGAGGTGATGCTCGACTCCTGTCCTTTGTCTCTGGTCCATCCCTTCCCTCATCTTGGGTATAAGTTCAAACATAGATCAAATTGATTAATAAAATTCTACCAGCTACAACAAGATAAATCAAGAGGCAAGCTTACTTTTGGTGTCCAGACCGCCACGGTAGCCTGTCCAGCCCTTGAGAGTGATTGTGTCACCCAGGAGATTTAAAAATTTTTGAAAAGCTTCACTTCCAATTTCTGCAGGAAGAGGCAAAGTATGAACAGAACAGGAGTGCAACCAAGCCCTTGTTTTCTAACTACCACTGACATCACTTGAAGGTTCTGAGGCACTGCTGAGGTGCGCAGCATGAAGCCACCTTTCCTCTTCCTGGTCTGTGAGGAAGTTTCATAATCCCAGGAATCAGAGGAAAGGAAATTACCAAGAAAGAACTAGATGAACAACCTTACCACTGCCAGATCACCATAGGATCACTATGTTTAGAATTGCACTACTAATGAAAAACATTAGTAGTGTTTCCACCAATAACTAACAGGTATTTCACACGAAAAATGATTAATCTCAGGAAGAAGACACCATCGTATAACTCTCCCCGCATAAAAGTCACAGGAAAGTTTTCTGCTGCAGAATCAAATTCTCCAAATCCATGTGCTTTCCCACTTAGACTGTATCTCCAGTGCCCAGAGCAGGGATTGGTAGAAATCAGGTGACCTGTAAATATTTGCCAAATGAATGAAACTGGGCAACAATTGCCCTACAAAATTTACCTGAAATTTAAAAAAAACCTGTCTTCTTGGATTAAAGACTCCAATGAGCTCAGTTTCAACTGTCAAAAATGCACCAAGGCAGGATGGGTTTCTTGTATGCAGAGGGGGGTGGTGTTCACATACCATTGCTGAACATCTCGTCATCAGTGAGCTGCCCGTCTTTGGCAAAAAGAACCCCAAACTTGAAATTCACAGAGCCCTGACAATAAGAAAACAAAAGATGTGGAAGTTAATTTTACCATCAGAGTGTGCACAGTCCTAAGATGTCACCAGGCTGGACACTTGGAGATCCCTTCCTCCCATTCGAATTTTGACAATGTGAATGACAATAATTACATTATTTTCATAGGTTTTTAAAATTTAAAGATGGGCTGGGGATGTGGCTCAAGAGGTAGCGCGCTCGCCTGGTATGCGTGCGGCCCGGGTTCGATCCTCAGCACCACATACAAAGATGTTGTGTCTGCCGAGAACTAAAATAAACATTAAAAAAAATTCTCTAAAAAAAAAAAAATTTAAAGATGAGACCATATGCTTCTATGTGTGCTAACTCATTGGCAATCTCATTACTAGTGGCACCTGCAGGATGCCAGGTCCATTTTGGGGCAACACAGAGCTCCAGATAAATGGCCACAGCAACTCATGGGGCTGGCACCATCTTCTAATCCACCCACCCGCAACAGTCCAGATCGTAGTCAGCAAAGGAGAGCTCATTGTCATTCAAAGCCGAACATAACAATCTTAGGCTAATGTCTTGTGGACTCTTTTAGAAACAGAATGGTGGGCAATTTATACTAAAAGCTCATTTTCCCCAATTCCTAAAGATATTTAATCTGAACAAGTCACAAAACAGATGTGCAAGGAAAAAAAAAAAAGCCAAGCAAGCAGTCGCTAGTCCAATGTGCAGTCTGCCGTCCTTGACCTCAAACAGCGAGTTAATAAAATTGGATCCTGTGGACATGACAAATACCAAACGAAAGAGCAGCTTCTATTGGAAGTGAGGAAGACAGGGGAAAGGGGTCAGAGAGTGAGAAACAGGGTTTCAACTCTGTTTTGTTTTGTTTTTTCCCTAAAGCTGGGCAACGAGTTTACTGATATTCATAACATGATTCTCTTCACTCTTGCATTCCTGAAGTGTTTCATAATTAAAAAAAAATCCCACTGTTGGAAGAGAATCAGTTCCCTGCACAGTTGTGTGACCCACCACTAAGTGGGGAGTTCTTGGTGGTCAATCAAGGGACAGACAAGGAACAAAGTTGCAGAGCCCTGCCCAATGGGTTAGAGGTGGAAGTCAAGGCAGGAGCGGGATTTAGGACAATGGAATCTGGGAGCATTAAGAATCTGAAAATCTTGGAGTCTGAGGTTATGCTTCTCAACATTTTTCTGTCCTAACATGCCCGCAAGTCAGATTCACACCCACCAGTGACAGTGGTTTTCTACACAGAGGCAGGAAGAAGGAGGATGCTCTGGCCAACCCCTCCACCTGAGCTCTTCCCCAGTCCCTGGGATGGCAGCTTGTTCCCAATTATGCAGGTCTTGGCTCAAGCAGCAATTTTCAGAGAAATCTCCTGGGACAAATCTCCCTGGAGGCCACCCCTTCACTCTTGGGACAGAGCCGCACACCCCACTCATCCCCACCAGGGCACCCTTCACTCTGTAGCTCTTCTAAGGAACCTGAACACTCGTTTCTTTCCACCACCAGAGCCCAAGTCCCTGCAGGAGGGATCACATACATTTTACTTTCCACTGTATCTGCAGGGCGGACCACAGGTGCCAGGACTTGGAGGTGAATTCATGTGAATGTGTGTGTAATAAATGAGAAGAGACAAACCTGGTCAGAAATCACTCATTTTTCACCAGCTGCCTCTGGGTGATCATCTCTTCCTCACAAGCCAGTTTTGGTCAGTTTCTTAGATTTCTGTCAGGGAGCTCTGCTCACTTTGGGTTTCTACAGTTTGCCGCTTTTCCTTCATCTATTTTAGAAGTGATGACAGCCATCCCTCGTAAGATGCTGTAACTCTTCCATTCTTGGGAGTCCCTCAAAAAGCATCTGTAGCAATTTGGATTCTAACAGATGGCCCCTGTGGAAATAACTATGCAGGGACTGAAGCAGCGGCTCTCTAAGTTGAGCAGGCATAGGATGCCCTGGAGGGCTTGCTAGAATAAAGATTGCTGGTCCCACCCCTGAGTTCTAAGTCAGCAGGTTGAGATAGGGCCCCAAAGTCTGCATTTACTAGGTTTTCAGGAGGTGCTAGTGCTGCTGTCCAGGGAGCCTCCTGTGAGAGTCACTGGACTTCAGGAACAACAACAGGCTGCCAAAAGCCCAGGATTGGGTCCAGCCAAACTGGCAGCCAAAAAAACCAGGGGAAAAGGGTCAGGTCAATGATCAGAGCTAGGGCCATGAACTAACAGCTTGTTAGGATCAGAAGGGACCTGTAGTCCCTGGAGGCCACCCCTTCACTTACAGACAGGACAGGGAAGTCCAGAGAAGCAGAGACTAGGTACTAAGTGAACAGTAGGGGGCAGATCTGGAACTTGGGCCTCCTGACTTCTGACCACAGCTCTTGCCAGTGTCATGCCACTGTCTTCTCAAGACGATTATGAGTTGAGCAAAGCTGAGAGCTACAAGCTGAGCTGTGGTTTTCAAAGCTTTATGGGGCTGTTCTGAGGTTGGCCATGCTACCAATTCTCTTTGCTGAGGACCCCTCTTGCTTAGGTGGAGACCCCAGAAAGACTGGTGTTGCAGGGCCTTTTTAGGTCTTCATCACATGGTGTCAGGGTCAGATTGCATAAGTACAAAGTCTGTAGTGCACAGAGGGTGCAGGATGGGGATGTTTGTGCATCTGAAGGCACAGGATCTTCAAGATCACTTATAGGCAGAGAGATTATACAACCAAGTTTTCCAAGACAGCCCTGGCTTGAATCTGATTTGCCTGTTGTCCTGGTATTACTCTCAAGAGGGTACCAGTTTATTTGTTTGTTTTTTATTTTATTTTTTTTTGTGGTGCTGGGGATTGAACCCAGCGCCTTGTGTATGCAATGCAAGCACTCCACCAACTGAGCTATATCCCCAGCCCAAAGAGGGTACCAGTTTAAAAGATAAATTATATGGAACCTCCTGCTTCAAATCGCCTTCAGATGCAAGGCCCTGTTAAATTCTTAAACTTTCTTATAGGTTCTTTTAGATACTTTGGTTTTTAGAATTTCCCAAATGATATCCATGACTAATTTGGAACTCTCATCTATTTCCAGAAATCAGGGCATCCCTCAATATAGTGACTTCTCATATTTGAGGAGTGTGTTTGATCTGGGCTGAACTGACCAGTGGATCTTTTCCAGTGGTTGTTGTTTTCTGGTGCTGGGGACTGAACCCAGGTCCTCAAACATGCCAAACACACCCTTTCCCAGAGCTACACCCTAGCTCCTATCAGATCCTATCAGAATGCGCCACTCAACAGAACACCCTTAGTGCATCAAGAGGCTGGCTACCATTTGGAGCACTAGATCTTGAAGGATGGAGGCAGCTTTCAAGGTCCCAAGAGCAGACCTGGGCTCCAGAGAGAGGTGACTGCTAGAGGGAATCTGGGAGCACTCGTTTGCTTAGCACATAAGTCCTGCTCAGACACAGAGACAAGGTCACATTTTTCATTTCTACTTGTATGGAACTTTTTAAAAAGTTTAAGCTTTAAACTTCATGAAACAGAACTTCCCATGCTTTGGAATTAATAGTATGTTAGGAATTATATTTCTTCTGCAAGAAGTGAAGTATGAGGAGAAATGAAAGTCCCAATGATCCCAGAAGAATCTTTTGGAATTGAGAAAGGATGGCCTTTTTCAAAACTCCACACCTTGTTTCTCCTGTCTGGACATGCTCTGTATTTCTAGGATTCCACTTGTCCCTACAGTTCTCTTGCTATCCCAGTGTGTATTACAGGACAAGATGCCATGTTTTCTCCTGGGGGTGCCAAATAAAACATGGGTTTTGGGACACTGACATCCCTTTATCAAATAGCTAACCTTTCAGGAACATCATAGGTGCTATTTACTAACTTTTTTCCTGCCCATCTTTACAGCTTACCACTAGAATAGGCTAGAATTGGGATTCAAATATACCAACTGATCTTAGCTGAGAAGCTATAGGATTGAATTAGAATGCCTGGGTCACACAGCTCTCCAAGAAGCTCAGAAGGACACCAACCATTGCTCAAATCTCTCCAAGTCACCATAACAGGGCACTCTTGCTGCTTCAGGCAAGTATTCCCTTAGAAAGGAAATGACATTGAGAAACGGAGATCCGGCCTTCATAGTTCAGGCCAGAGAAGATTGGGATGGTGGCAGTGCACTAGCGTGGTTGTGGTGGAGGCAACTGAGAGGTGTTTGTTTTGGGGATATTTATGAAGAAGTATCAACAGGATGTGCTGATGGATTAGATATGGGGTGTAAAGAGAAAGATAGTTATTAAAGATTTCATCAAAGTTTGAGCAACTGGACAGATGAATTACCATTCATGGAGGAGCACAATATGCCTAAACCATCATTTATTTACTCAGCTGCCTGTTGATAATATTTTGGACATCTCCTTCTATTAGATATGTGCTTAAAAAACCCAATGTATTCTTTTAATATATTTTAGTTGTTTATGGACCTTTATTTTATTCATTTATTTATATGCGGTGCTGAGAATCAAATCAAATCAGTGGTAGGCAAGTGCTCTACCACTGAGCCACAACCCCAGCCCCCAACATATTTTTAAACAATGGGGCAATAGGACACAAAAACATGTAAATAAGTCAGGGATCTTGTATATTTAGAATCTGCTTAATAACTAATGTACAAACATCCTCTTTTAGAAATTAAAGCCTCATTACTTACCTTGATCACAAGCAGACTAAGTAGTTTGATTGCTTTTATATCTTTATAGCTAGCAGCATAGAAAATTCTGAAGTATGCCTTGACCAAACCCCTCAGTCCAGTCTTCCTGTGGGAAGGACCCACACTGTAGACCCATGCAGAATCACCCGGAGGGGTGTCACACTGACTCACAGGAAGCAGAAATGGCCAAACAAAGGCTCCATAAAAACACTCACCTCTTGTTCTTCAAGAACCAGCAAGTCCTGTCAAGAAAAGGTTTCAAAAGTTACGTGCATGTGTAGGGTCTCATTTGATTTTGGCTTTCTGTGGAAGCCGAATTTCAGTTAACTCACAGTTTTGCATTAAAATACTTTGAAAATAACAAGTTGTTTATGGATCTTTTTTTGGGGAAACAAAATAAAACAAAACTATGACCAAAGGCAGGAGCCAAGAATCTTGGGTTTGTCCCCTGTAACTTGCCTGACCCTAGGTCAGGTCGTCTCCTAAGACCCTCTCCTATGAGAGGCGTGGAGCAGCGACCCTGAAGAATCCTGGCTTTGGATCCTTGCTCCATCATGTACTTTAGTGTGTTTGGGCACAAGATATTTAGCCCATTAGGGTCTCTGTTTCCTCACCCACTGCCCAAGGATAACACCGTCTTAATTCTGCACAGGTTGCTATGTGTGGAAAGCCTGGTATGCAGCATAGATATAATCAGCCTCCAATTTCTTTCCTTATTATTTTCAGTCACTCCATATATAAATTTGTAGACTAACTACATGGGAGAACTTTTTTCAGAACTTTTAAAAAAGTAGATACTGGTTGATAAGTGGACAGCAACACCAAAGGCTCTGGCAGGGATCAGTGGGTGAGTGGAGGTGGAGGAGGACAGGCCTGGTGAGCCATTGCTGCTGAAGGGTGGACAGGAGGGAGAGAGCCAGGGTGGCAGTGGAGGAGGCTGAAGGGACCCTCACCCTCCTTCTTGCCCAAGAGGAGAGGAACTGTGTTCACTGGAGACCTGGCAATTCTGAAAGAACTCTGCAAGGCACACAAATTCCCATTTTATTTAACAGGGGGCCTTTTTCATTCAGAATTCTGTGATTTTGGTTACTTCTAAGTTTTGGGAAAAAATAAAGTTATTATGTATTTTTTCTCATTGGGGCATCTTTATATTTGCATGTCATCATGCATTTCATTGCAAAGTTCTCTTCCCATAGTTTCTTTAGATCTTCTCAAGTACCCTGTGAGCAGTTCAGCTGTTCCAGAATCCCAGGGAAGGGTCTGAGTTAAGGTCACGAGGCCTGCCAGTAAGAGCTGGATCTGGGGCCTTCTCTTAACTGATGTGGGGAGTAAAACAAGGAGGCGCTCATGACCCGGGCTTCCCAATTGCCAAGATCCCAGCAAGTGTCAGGACTGGGCGTTTTGCCACCAGTTTCTGGCCTGGTAACGGGGGCTGTCCTTGGCAGCCAGGCTGCAGAGATCAGCTTTAAGCAGGAATCCTGCTGAGCTCTGAGGAGAGGGTCTCCACACTCAGCTACTACGGGGATGGGGGTGGGGAGGTGTCACAGGCTGCCAGGTTACATTTATCTTAAAGTTTCCTTATTTCAGATGACATTTCTTCAGAAGCAGGCACTCCTGCCATGTGTTCCTGCTTTGCTAAAGTTTACTTAACACGATTCAAGATTTTAAAATATTCTTGTTCCTAAAATTGTGAGCATCAGTTAGGTCCTCCTTTTGCTGTTGCCCAGTTGGTAATTTTAGCCTGGAAGTATAAACTGGTCTATTGGGAGTGTTTCTTAACAGAGTCCGACTGTGGTATTTTTGATGGATGTATGATTCTAATCATTAGTCTGGGGCTGACACTGATTTTTTTTATACATATATGACTGACTGACTTGGTAGAGAGTGATTTTATATACACTTTTTTAAAACCTAGAAATGTGGACTGGGATTGTGGCTCAGTGGTAGATCACTTGCCTAGCATAGGCGGGACCTGGGTTCGATCTCAACACCACATGAAAATAAAGGCATTGTGTTGTGTCCATCTACACCTTAAAAAAAAATGTTAAAAAAAACCTAAGAATGCTTTAAAAGCTCAATTTAGCCTTACAGATTTTATAAAACTCCTGCTCATCTAGGAGAGTCACACCACAACCAGCTGGAAAGAAAGCTGTCGTACAGAAGCAGAAGAAGCAGAGGTACCCAGGTTTCTCCATCCACTGTGAGCTGGCTTAATAACACACTGTCCTGGAAAGATTTTGGTGGAGAAAAATGTCACAACAGTCTAGCAGCCTTTGTAAGTAGCACCGTTGCCCTCTCTCTTCGTGGGAGATGCCCCCTGTGCAGTTGGTTGGGTTCCCATTCACCCTCTGCGGCCTGTGACTGTTCAGAACTCTTTCCCTGTGTCCCAAAGCCTGTTGCTCATGGGCTCCTGTGGGAATCTGCTGAGAGGCTGCAGCTGGAACAGCCTGGTGCAGAGCTGAGCCTCAGCCCTGCCAAGCACGCCCAGCACTGGAAAGCGGGACAGCGGAGGCTCGTGAAGGACTCCTTCTACAGGAAAGTCACACGCTGTGGGGACAGCACGAAAGTATGGGGCAAGGGATGACAGAGGTGGGCAGATGGCTCTAGACCTTTCTTCTTGTCCCCTTTTACTCTGAAGAAGAGAGAAAGCAGATGGGGAGGGCCGAGCAGGGCAGTCTGAGAGCCAAAGCACCACAGCTGGCTCTGGGGGTTTGGGGGCCATCTGGGGGCAGGGATGGTGGCGGGATCACACCCAGGCTTGAAGAAGGAAGGGTTAAGACTCTGTATAATGAAGTGACAAAGGCACAAGGGTAATGACATATTTGCAATTCAAATGTGCTATAGTCACTTTAAAGCATGTCATGGCTTAAAATTGCTTAGTTTAACCCAATGCACCTATTTTTGTCTGAGTTTTCTCCTAGGGCTGGGGCAGGGTATTATTTTAAACATTAAATCAAAATAAAAGATATGAAAATTCATATCTTATGAATATTTGAGGTAAGCAAGGCTGAGAGCCAACGACCTTATCCTCAAGGCTAACCCTGCCTTAGCTCAGGAATGCACTCCAGGGTGCTCTGCTCCCACCAGGCCTCTCGCTCTGGCTTATTTCCCCAAACACACAAAGCACGGCCCTCATCACCCTCAGACCCCACTGGCTCCCTGTCGCCCCCTGAACAGAACTCAAAACTGCCTCTCAGCTTCTTCCCTTGTCACCCAGCCCTTGTGCTTACAGTTCCTTTAATCTCCACTTTGCCATATGATTGGTGCGCTGCTGGTGATGGCATGCACCTTATTTCAGATGACATTTCTTCAGAAGCGGGCACTCCTGCCATGTGTTCCTGCTTTGCTAAGGTCCCACTAACACAATTCAAGATTTTAAAATATTCTTATTCCTAAAATTGTGAAGATAACTTTTTTTCAGAACTTCTAAAAAAGTAGCTGCTGGTTGATAGGTGGACAGCAACACCAGAGGCTCTGGCAGGGATCAGTGGTGAGTGGGGAAGTTTTCAAAGCTAAGATGATTTACAGCTGCGAGACAGAAGTGTGGCTGTATTTTCACATGAATCTTATCTAGATTATGACTGAACTTTTATTCCCCCTTTAAAGGTCCCTAAGAGAACAGGATAGCTTTCTGGGGACTCTGAATCCTCTGATACTCAGCACAGTTCTGAATGAGTAAGAGCACATGGTCATTTTGTGTTTTTTTAATTAAAAAAAAATTAGTTATAGATGGACACGATATCTTTACTTATTCATTTATTTTTATGTGGTACTGAGGATGCAATCCAGTGCCTCACACATGCTAGGCAAGTGCTCTACCACTAAGCCACAGTCCCAGCCTTGTTTTATTAATTTTTAAAAATCTCTTTCACATTCCACATGATTCTGTATCATTCAGGAAGAGGTTGACTTTTAAGACCTTTCTGAACACACACTTTACTGGTTCATGGGTTGAGGACCACAGCTCAGTGGTACTCAGTCGTGGCTAGGTGTCAGCACCACTCAAGGAACATCTGAGAAACAGATTCTCAGGCTCTTCCCCAAACCTGCAGAATCTCAGTCATGAGGTTCTCCCTTGAGGATGTTTTAAAAGTACACAGGTGATTCACCCTGAACCCCAGCCGAAGCATCACAGCCCTGTCAGGCCTATCCTAACATGGTGATTGGTTCTATACAATTATGAAGAACAAAATTTTTCATTACCTTTTGTATCTCAGGAAGAAAAATTTCTCTAGGGCCTTTCTCAAATTTGTCCAGATTCATGGCACTGAAATAGAATAGACAGAGTGAGCCACAGTGAGATGAAGACTTAAGCGATGTGGAATGAATCTCAGCTCTCCAGAGAAGTTAGATAACATCTTCTAGGTTCTAGAACAGCATGGCTGGCTTCTCTGAAGGGCCTGGCACACAGGAGACACCAATTAACAAATGAATGATCAATGAACAAATATGTGAAAGTCACCAAACACCACATTTTACTTTACCTACATACTGTCCCTGAGTGATACTCATATAGTAAGAGTGGGGAGGAATCAGGAACATCTATTTTAGGCAACCTTTTAAAAAATTCTTATAAATTCTTATTTTTAAGAATAATAATTCTTATTTTTAGTTTTCTAGATTCTTCTTTTCATGTACTAGAAAAATGTTGAAATGTAAATAAGATCAACTGACTTTTTTTCTTCCTTTGGTGACTGCTCTACCACACAAAGCAAAATATCCTTAAGAGTACTTTTTAATGTCTTACTTAGGACAAGAAACATGAATTTTCTCAAAGCTAAGTTCCACTAGAGGTCAAACAGGGAGGGTGAACTAGGTGATCTCTAAGGCCCCTTCCACTTAGGATGCCCATATTCACGAGTCACAGGTAAAAGTAAGAACTAATATGTGAAAAGGACTTTCCACACCGGCGCCCACACCCCATTTAGTCCCCAGGAGGTGGGTACTGTTTTGTTCGCTTTAGCTGTGGGTGTTTGTTGCTAGGATAGCCTTGTGCATGGCAGGCAAGTGCTCTCCCACTGAGCCATGCCTCCTTGTCCCCATTTTAAAGGTAAAGAAATCGAGGCTCAGAAGACAACAGGATAACAAACAAAGCCATTAAGGAGCAGATCGAGGACTTGAACCCAGGCTTAATCTGACTCTGTAGTATTTATATTTTTGTTCTGGGCCAGGCTACATGGGCAATGACCAAACAGACTCCATCTTACCCTGAAACTTCATGTCATGTAAAAGCTGCTTCTCCCATGGGGAAGCCCTGCCTCTGTACCCATCAACAGTTGCTTTACATAGCATGTTTGGCAAAGCAAAGTAGCAATTCTCATACAATGTAAAATTGTTCTCTCTTTGGTTCCCATTTTTCTTGGACAATGTATCCTGTCAGAGATCGATTTGTCCAGACATTAGTAACTGTTCTTTAACTTGTACTCAACTAGGGACGTTTTGACCCATTCCCCCTCCTGCTTATGATTTTAGATCTCATGGTGTTTGCTTATGGTTTTGAATCACAGCAATAACCACTTATGATTAATATGGTTTTGGACTGTAAAAGGTGTTTTCAAACCCCAGGAGGGGTCGAAGGGTGTAGACTTGCAGCCTGCCCCTTGGACCCCCAGCTGGTGAATAAAGTTTCCGTTTCCTGCTTTAATATAGACTCGGTGATTAATTGCAATCTTGACTTTTAACATTTTAATTTTCTTTTAAGTTCTCGAGTTCATGTTTGTAACAAAAGAAGATAAGTCTACTTCTGTTGATGGCGACTGTGGAAGTTTTAGTCTTCCCTGTCTTTAAAACCTTGCTGCAACTTGTTCTGTCTGTGAGTGGTGTACTGAGTAGGGAGGGTGCTGCTCACATAACTAAGTGAAATTCTAACTAAATCAATTCTAGCTGAATTAACTGCCCTGTCTTTAAACAAGGAAGAAGGAGCCAGAGTAACTTCTAGAGAACATCAACAACAAAAAAAGATTCATAGAAATCTTAAGCCAGGGCTGGGGTTGAGGCTCAGCAGTAGAGCGCTCGCCTTGCACTCTCG